TCTCTTCAAAATTTTGCTTTTTAAGCTTATCACGTTCAACATTAACCGCATTAATTATCTTCGTGTTGCTGTCAAAGACCTTTCCTTTTAAGTTCAGTGAATGCCAAATAACATATGGAACGATGGCACCGTCTTCAAGGACTATTTCAAAGTGGTTCCGGAGATTCCAGAGTGGATATTTTTCCGTAAAAGAAGAGTCCCAAGAAGGTTGGCCAAAATCTGCGACTGATAACGTTTCTTTAGCGCTGGTGAAATCCCACGTTTGACACAAAATAATTGCCAATGAATTGGACTTGAATGCCATTACTATATCACGAAGATTAAGTGGGATACAGGAAGAAATTTGCTCGACGTATACCGCGAATTTTAAATGAGGCGCAAAAAGGGCTCGAGCGGATTTTGCTTAATTAAAAAATACATTGCAATCAAGGGCGATTATGTAGAGAAGATAAAAAATTGTAGAAGACTACGAATAAATAAAAAATATATATTTTTTGCTAGTCAACTGATCGAACTTTTATTAATCCTCTCGTACATACATACATATCGTACATATTCCTGCCTAACGATGTCGCCATCAGCCTGAGTCAAAATGTATAGACCCTCCAGTGATTCTTCTTCATCATCAGCACGAAAGTCAAACAGAGGAAGAGGAAGACCTCCACTCCGGCGGTAAGACCAGGTGGAAAAGTACCTAGCGGCACTTACTATTTCCAATTGGCGTCAAACAGCGAAAGGAAGGAATGAATGACGCGCTATAAGCGGTGTCTACGCCACAATATAAGAAGAAGGAGAAGAGCAACGAAACATTAATTGGCGCAATCTATGCAATTCGTCGTTCTTGCTCTGAGCAGTTATTGAGAAACCGGTTTTTAACCCATACGCACGCATTGTTTAAGAAATGTTACAAAATCGAAGTCTGTATACAAACGATTGAAAGTTGTCTCACTCGGTATGAAATGGACAATTTTAGTCTTGCATTTACTATAACCAGATTTTAACACTTCTCCTTGTCCCTTAAACTGCAAAACTTCTAGGAATTTTAGATAATGCCAGACAGCAATAGAGGTGTGGTTCCAATGTCCTGTTCTTGCCTTCTCTACTGTACTACCTACATGTTTCATTGCTGCTAATGCCCTTTCTGCTCGCCAATGCTTAGGTATACCGTCCATTCGAAACCGTATAGGCAAAAAGTCGATGATGATCTTAGCGGTATTATCTGCTTTTAAGATACTCCATCTTGCATTGAGCCGGCGTTCTCTTGGAAATTTCATTACACAAAGTCTTAAGAGTTTTATGAAAAACGTGTAATGCTTCAGTCTCCAGTTGGATAACACTTTTAGCCATCTCGTCCACTACTTCCGTATTCGCTCACAATGTGACACACAGTATATACATATTTGTATACGAGTATGCAGCTTTTTTCCTACAGCCATCTTATCTAACACTATGCGAGATTATTGCTTTCCTGGCTACTTGGCTACGAAAGAGTCGAATGATGTTTTACATGTGACTTCCGGTGATGTAGGCCAGCTCAGCAGTTTTTCCACCGCGAAGACCTCCACCACGATAATAAAGCTATACTTCAGAAGTTTTAAGGGTTTGTTGGGCTCTAGCTCACAACGAAAGATTCCGGTGCCCAGTCCATCATCGATTTTAAGCTTGAAACCATCTTTTCCAATGTATCAGGCCGGCGATAAGCTCCACGAAGCGCCTAACGTCTATTTACATTCATATAGCGCATTACTAGCCCCATTGAGCATTCACTTGAGCTGGGCGTCTACAGTTGTTCCGAGGTAATTAGTACTTTTCTTAATTGTTATATCCACCCTGTTATTCTTGGTGGGTTCGCAATCAGTGATCTTCCATCTTCGTGGGAAAGGACAGTATCAGTAATATCGTCAGGTAATTCGCTTAGTTGGTTTCCCTTTAAGTTTTTTCAGAAGTAGGAGTGGCAATATTATTGTATATCGCTTAAGGAGTCAACCTGAGCAATCTAGCTACAGTCCACTTCACGATATTCTTCCTACAGCTCCGTACATATGCTTTTGGATACGTGAATACTCAAAATTGAAACCAGCAGTATTCCAAGTGCATCTCCAAAAAGCCAGTTTTCAAAGGTTACTCTGGGAGTGCGGTTGAAATCCAGTGGCGAGTACGGTGGGCAGCTTATTTCACATTTCAGCCAGTCAGTTGGCCACCTAGATCGTATGATTTAACTCTTCTATATTATTTTCTGAAGTTTGTATCTTCTTCCATCAAATATATCAATAAAAACACATGAAAATAAAATCTTTCTTTGTTTTCAAAAACTCAAAACTCATTTCATTTGGGACAAAATACATACCACACAATAGCCATTTGAGGGTTAAGGTAGTAAGGAAAACATCCCTTCTATTGTATTTAACTCGTGTTGTGTGACCGCCTGTAAAGAAAACGCCAAACGTTATGCTGCAACTACCCATCTTAAATACCTTCCATCCGTAGCAACCTATCTTATGAGAGCGTCATGTAAATACAAAGTTGTCGCCGTTCGGCGAAGCCTTTACTGACGGTTGTGTTGCAGAAACCAACAGCGATCTGATTATATCCCGTAAAGTCGGGTCTAATGGACGGAAAGTATGTTCGATGGGTAGTTGCAGCATTAGAAATGATGATGGTAACATACCGGTATATACATATATATATATATACATACATAAGTACTTCGTTTGCTAGTTTCTATTATTCCAAGTCTGCTCTCTTTGAGCATAAGCGATTGTTTCTAGAAATATCCCAACTAATATACATATGTACAGCGTCTAGCTATATAGATTTTCTCTCTAGTCATAAGGCAGGCAGACAGGTACGTAGAGTTGTGATGCTAACTAAATCATATCAATATAGTATGACGTCAGGCTGGCATATTATGAAAATGGCAACAGGAAACTCGAAAAATTTCTATAAATTAAAACCACAATGATTTCCTAAATTTTATCAATGGATTGTTAAACCAAAGCCACCAACGTAATTTATCACACAGATCATTGATTAAAATCACACAGTTTGCTAATCTCGTTTCACAAAAGTTTTGTCTATAACGAACACTCCTCGCAACTTTTCACTAATAAGTTTTTATTTAGATGAATGTATGTGATGTTCGCCTATGCTCTTATATACCCACCGATTACAGTCAGGCAAAGTTCTGCATAAAGAACATTCGATTCATGCGCTGTTGGACCGTGCAGTGATTATCGATCTCTTTCTTCCATCTAAAATAAAAAGGAAAATATAAAAGAAAATAAAAAAGTTGAAGTTTGAAAAACAAAAATGTTTGTTTTTAATTATTTAATAAATGTATCCTATAACTTATAATAAAAACGATTTTATGACATAAATTTTATGGTGCTAGCAACAACATTAATAACACATTTTCATTTGTTTCAGGATTCATGGAGTTTCTGTGGTGGTTTTAGTTAAGGTAAGTAAAATACTAAAATTTTAAACTCATAAATTTGAATGAAATTAAATGAAAGCTAAATATCACTGAAATATTATGCACTTTTAGTTTAAAAAAACTAATTTACTATATAACTGATTTACAATGATATAACTCTTTTATACACGGTTAAGCCTCATCTGAAGTACCTACAATAGAGCTTGCAGCAGACTGCGACCTTTGCCTGGCATAACCGCCGTGTTTCCACGGAAAGCTGCTTTCATAAGATTATCAATAAATAATATTTTAATTTAATTAATTTTATTTAGATTTTCCATTAATTTGACAATTGCACACTTCAGTCAAATCGAAATCATTTAAGTTTTTCTTTTCAATTTTATGTTCTCGAAAAAATCAAGTAAATAAGTTAAGAGGATAATGCTCAAATGGGAAATTACATTTATTCCTCACACATGTTAAAGTTGGCGGCTTTTAAGAGCCACTTTTGCTGGATAATTTACGCTTATCTAAAACTTATTAAATTTTTAAATGATCTATGGAAAAAAAGAAAATTTAGTAGTAAACATGTTTATTGAGAGGCAATAATAAACGTTACTAATCTATCTACTATTCTTTACTTTCAAATTGTAAAAGATTCTATATTTTCTTTTTGACTAGCATATTTATATTGCGATGAAAATGTTAAATACGAGGATGGCGTGAAAAGTAGAGGCCGATAGATAAAGCATGTTCTAGAGCGCGTGTATCGAATGTTCGTTATCGAGGACGATCAGAGATGAACTTTCAAGGGATGTGCGAGAGAATTCGAGAGGTATTTAAGAGCGGCGGTTAGCTCACTAGCCTGTTCAGTTGAGTTTGGTGAAGCGCAGTAAATGTGTTTATAATTAGTTGTACAGTTAGTAAAGAGTGTTCAGAAGTAATAAAGTAAGCTTTGAATTTATCATAAGGAAGCTATAAAATCAAATCAACAATCCAATGACTAATTCGAGGGATTTCACAAATCACCGAGATACTTAGCGATAATCTTTTCTAAATAATTCCCAATAATGAAAATATATATTTATTACAATCGCTGGTTCAGTTCGTGCGCCAATATGTTTAGTTGACGCTTCCTTTCTGGAATTAAAAAAAAAAACTTTTTAGTTAAGAAAAAATACAAAAATTATTGGAAATAAATAAAAATTTTAATTTTATAAAAAATGGTAAAAATGTAATATTATCGTAAGCTGCTTGAGGTGCATTTATAGCATTATTCATAAATATTTATAGCTAAAAAAAGTGTTGTTGAGTACTAATCTACAAAGAACATCAAACAAAAGCCCAAACAGAAATTTTCACCAACATTGATATTTTCACTTAAGTGAGTTGTCTGAGGAAGACTGAATTAGGAAAAAAAGATTTTGAAATAATAAAAAGGCTGCTTTTCACATCATTCAAAACGAATTTCACCAGAGAACGTAAAGTATATTGTATTTACGTTCTCTGATTTCACATCGGTACATTTGCTTGTATCCCACCCGGTAACTTTGTAAATAACAACAGTTTGAAAGCCAACGTTTTACTTAGGTGACGACTAAGCACACGTTTGATACGTACGTCTCACTCACGCTCGTGCAAAAGACCATGGAAACTAATCAACAACCACTAAATGTCATGCAAAAACAGATAAGGCCAAAGAATTATCAATTCACAACTAATGTCAATTTTTTCAGTTGACAATCGCGACGTGAATTTTTGTGTAGTTTTCTTTTATTCTCTGTTAAAAAATTGTGTTTATAACAAAAGATCGTGTTTAAATTCGTGAAAAACTGTTTCGGACGAGAATTCGGTGACAAATCAATGTGTTTATATGTGAAAATTGCGAAAAACTACACACGTGGGCGTTAAAAACAAGAAAATCAAGAAAATGCTTTTTGGAGTGAGGCGGCTTTAGCAATTGGTAATCACCACATACATATGTCTATACGCATACGGTGGTGTATGTGTGTGCTTGCAGTCATAAGTCGCTTTTGACAGCTAACAAAAATCGATTTGTTTACATCTAAAATAGACAAAAATTGCTCTGAATTTCTCATAAAAAGTGTTTGCCAGTGAATAAATGTTCCTTGCTAAATCTGAAAAATTATTATTTATATAAAGAAAGTGTAAAAATCTGGTTCTATAACGCAGTTAACCGGCTAGGTGTTTGTTTTTGTAAAGTGTTTGTTAACTCTAGCCGGCACTCCGCAGCCACACTATACTGCGCCAACTGCGACTGCGACGACGACGACCAAGTCGACGTCTGTCTCTTGTTTGTTTGTGTACTTGGCGTTTATTTACCTATTTATTGCTATAGCCAATTTTCTGCAAATAAATTTCACATTTTGCGAATGCACTTTAAAATATACACCAAAATTTCGATAACAAATTAATGAATAGTTTTGTTGTAAAGTGAAAAACGAGTTTTAACTTCTAATTTGTTGCGTTAACGCCTTTTTCTACTACGTCAAAACAAAGTTACTTGGTGCGCTTGTATATGTGTTGTATGCGTGGGTGTACCAACCAGCGGCCGTATAGAGTGTTGTAAAAAAATATTGTGCGGAAAATAAAATCTAATACCTTCGTGCATATGTATGCATGTATGTATGTATGTAGTTTTAATAGAACCAGTTTGATAAAGTGTCTATTTGCACAAAGCTTAGAGGTGTCAGCAGCGCCACTGCATTGACTCTTTTTTAGTGTTTAAAATATTTGTGGTTTAGTAAAAGAATATATAACAACAAAAACTATTTGTGGCGCGCGTTTTTTCGACTGATTCACTTAATCATCGCCCACACGTCACATACAAATTACTGGCACATAAACCCGGTGTTAACATATTTTGTGGATTATACTTTGTGTTGATTCAACGCCGCCTGTGGTTATGTACATATGTATGTTTGTTTTAGGTGGGCACAAGAATATGTGTTCCTGAGAAAAAGGTATGCGCGCCGAGTTCTACTTATTTAAATATGCTTTACTGTTACAAAATTGTACTTTCAATAATTATGTGAAGTTCTTTTAACGGCAAAAGTCGAAGCGCTGGTTACCTTATCAGTGTTTGAATAAATCCTAGAACGTGATAATGTTCAAGTACATATTTTATTTATAATTAATTAATAAATTGGGAATATATACTAATGTAGATATTGTTGACTTTGTAGTGTCTCGGCAGCCTACCCAACCGATTCCAGACCGAAATAAGAGACATTCCAGAAGGGATAGGAATGTTGAATCATACACCAACATGTAATGAAACGGGATATATGTATGCGGATTCGCTGTGAAGAAGGAATCGGATGTCCTACGGCATACCGGAAATCCCTTTTTATCCTTCCATGTTGGTTATTAGTGCAAGTGTTGTTGATATGAACGCGCTATAAAAACCTGATTGTCGCAGGAAATATTGGGATTTAGTTGACTCTTAAGACAGTCATACCATAATTGATCCTTAACCCGCAGGGATCATTATGCATTGGCTGCGCGTAAATGCCTCATAATGACAAGAGCTCAACATCTTTTGGGATCCAAGTTTTGTAGATATTTGTCGAATGGATGATCTCTCTCAACTCGATCTCTATCAGAACTTTCCGTAGTTTTGGCCATAATTAAGGCTAAATTTTGTTAGTGACAAGTACCGTATTTTGATGACGTAGCTACTCTGCTCCGGAAAAGCCCAATTAATCTGGAAATAATCTTGTAGTTCTTGCGCCGACCCCTCTTAGGAGCAGACGAGAATAGTCTACGTCCGAGATGACCGCGATTTAATAGGGGAACTTAAATACGGGGAGATATGGTCCAAGTACCGCCTCAATGGCAGTAGATCATCTGTAGAACTTCGAGGTCTAACATCCAAACTCAGAAGGTTAAACTGTCATTTAATTTTTCATATCTCGAAGCTCCTCTCGCCACATGATAGAGTTTCACTTTTTTCACATAACGTTGATTACTCAATATTGGTGTTTGGTAATGACCGTTGTTGGAAAGTGTAGTGCTATTTCGACGACTTTTCCCACTTCTTCCCAGCAATTACAACTACAATCTGCAACCTCATCGGCTATCTTCTTCACCAGCTGGACGATGGAGTACTAGGTCGAGCTCGATGGCTTGAACATTAAGAAACCAAAAGCCTGCACTCCTGTACTCCACATATGACTGCAATCGCCACCCACAAAACTCTCAAAGCAACAGTCGTCAGCATTCTTATGTCACCAGAGCAACTCTTGCAAAGCGAAACATCTGGGCTAGGAGCAAGCCCATCTTCTGATACATTGCCGTAGGAAGCGCCCCTACAGGTACTAAAAGCCGAACTCCGCTATAAACACTCGAATCAGCATCACGTACAAGAACCGCTGGACAAGACGGCCTACCGACAAGTCTTAAACGCAAATCATCACCTACTTGAAATCTCTTACAGTTAATGAGTTGTTTCGACGTGTTCGCAGAAAAGTGTTAACTTTAATTGGTTAGTGTGGTGCTGCATTTCATTGTTTGCAGGATATAAGTTCGGCATGTCGGGATCCAGCCGGTAAATGTGCCACTGTGCCAGTATTACTTTTGGTCTTTCGAGCCAACTCGGCCATCTGGTCTGCTGTAGGTAGTTCTTGCATTCCGAGAATGCCATAAACAGGAAGTTAGTTGGTGGACTCTTAGTACTTTGATGTTGTACTTTGCTTCGGAAGAACCAACCTTATTTGCTGTAAACGAGCTTAGGCTTTTCATTGTTAAAATCGATTGGGGTTTGCGGTGGTTTAGCAGTTGTTGTATCTATGTAGCTTATGAGAAAAGCTGCGACAGTGCAAGTTCTTAATCACATAAAACCTCGGATCACTTAGCAAAACTTGAAACCTCAGCGCGATTCATCACCGCTTTATCGTATATCGACTGCATATCCGACGGGTACTGTATGTCGATATAGATGTCTCCTCACTTCTTCTCTGTGATGCTTTTACCTTCTCAGTACGAACTTATTAAAAAAAAGAGGGAAAACAACTTAAAATATAAATTTTTCTTCAATAAACAGTAATTTAAAAAGCCGCAATTAGTTTCCCAAAATTTATGCAAAAAGTCTAACGGTATAATTATAATTTATTTTTATGCTAAAACATTTTTTTATGAATCTGCCATAAAATTAAGCCAACAAATTTAAATCCAACTTAATATACAAATCTAACCGCATAGGTTATATGTTTGGTACATATGTATGTACATATGTAAGAATGCAAATCGCATAATCTACTATTCAATTCAAATCAATTTAACTCAATGATGAAAAAAGGAAATTATGTGCATTAAATTCAATTTATAATATATTTATTTATTTTTTTTTTTGTACACCTGAATGCTTCAATTACATTTTCGTGGTTGGATTTTGGTGTTTAATTAAAAATGATAAAAAATAGACAAAACCATTGAAAAAATGTATTGAAATAAATACTGAACTACAGTAAATATAACAATGGGTGAGAAAGAAAAGAATTTATGCAATGAAATTTTTAATATGACGAACGAAATTTTAAATGAAATATATCCTTTATATTGCATCACTAATATTTCGAAACAAAAAATAAATTAAGATAAATAAAAAATTTAATTGATTAAAATTTTAGCAGTTTTAAAAAATTTTTTTTGGTGTTTTGTTATATTTAAAAATTTTTTTTTAATATTTGCTTAAATATTTTTTTTTTTCGCTTTGTTATTGAGTTAATTAGAGCATGTGATCGGTCACCAATATTGATAAATTTTATTTCAAGAAAAACCTCTTTATTATTTATTGATGTTTTTCTTCTTAGAAAAAGGAGAAGCTAAAAATTATTAATATAATTTTTTATTATTATTTTTTTAATCTATTTTTTTGTGTATAATGCTCTTTTTGTTCTATGATTTTAGTAAAGTTTGAGTAAAACAACCAAAAAAACTTTATTTGTAGAATGTAAATATGTATGAAAAATTTAGTTAAATTTAAAAAAAGCAAAAATTTGTAAAAACATTAAAAAAATTGCTTCCTCAAATGGCGAGAGTAATTTTCGGTGCAATCAACTATATATGCGTATCAATTTACGTTGAATTTTATTATATATTCTGCTTTATTTTTACTACGTTAAATTTAATTTAAATTTTTTTCTTCATTTTCCTTTGATTTTAGTTTATTTTATTTTTGAATATTAATTTTTTATATATTTTAATTTGTGTTTTGCAATTGGATAACCTTGTACAATCAAAATGAAATAAATAATATTAAATAATTCAATATAATGTTTAAATTTAGCCAAGCACGAAATTATTCATTTTATTTTATTTTGCTTGATTCTATTTTTTTTCTTTCATTTCATTTGATTGTACTTTATTTTATTTAATTTGTTTTATTTTATTTTAATTAATTTGTTTTGATTTATTTAATTTTATTTAATTTAAGAGAGGGCGTCTCGTCGTGTTCATCTGTGGCTATATTAATTTTAAAGGTACTGTCATTTCGGGACGTTTTCAGTAGATGCCATTTGTTTTAGCTTGAACAAGAATTCATTTGAAAATGTCGAAATTTGTACCAGATAAAGTGTTTTTGCGTGAAGTTCTTCTTCATTACTTTAACATGAAGAAAAGTGCTACCGAAAGCCATCGTATTTTACTGGACGTATATGGTGACCATGCTTTAGCCGAACGAACGTGCCAAAAGTGGTTTGCACGGTTCAAAAGTGGCAATTTCGACTTAGACTACCGAGAACGACCCGGAAAGCCAAAAAAAATTTCAAGAATTGGAGTTGATCAAGCAACCGTTTCCAGACGATGAAAATATTTTTTTCACAATAAAGTCTTAATTTTCGGAAAAAACGGCACGAATTGATGCATACACCCAATAGTTTTAATTGATGCTATTGCTTTTTATTTCACTTTATTTGATTTAATTATATTTTATTTTAATCTGTTTTATTTAACTTAGCTTGTGGTAATTTATGTTCATTGCTTTATTTTATTTTATTTTATTTTATTTTAATCATTTTATTTTTTCTTTTGTTTTTTTTTCTTGTTGATTTTATTTTGTATGACTTGTTTATATTTATTTTATTTTATTTAAAATTTTTAATTATTTTGTTTTATTCTATTTTTTTCATTTTTTTCATTTTATTTTATTTTACTTGATTCTATTTCATTTTATTTAACTTGAATTAATTTTATTTGCTTTTTAACTTTTTTATTTTGTTCTGTTTTAGTTCATTTTGCTTCATTTTAGTTTTCTTTTTTTATTTTATTTTCTTTGTTTTATTTTTTTTATTTTATTTTCTTTATTTTATTTTTATTTCGTTTTTATTATTTTATTTTATTTCGTTTTCCTTTTTTCATTTGATTTTATTTCGATTTGTTTATCTTAATTTATTTTCAATATTTATTTATTTCTTTTTATTTATGTATACTGCTTATATTATATTTTACTAATTTTATTGTAGTTTACTTATTTTAATTTAATTTACGTAATTTTTATTTTTTTAACTGATTCTATTTTTTCTTAAATATTTATTTAATGTCTGTTTTATATTCTTAATTTAATGTTCTTAATTTTTTTTTTTATTTTTTTTTGGTTTGTTTTAATTTCTTTTTATAATTTCACTTAATTCTTTTTTATTTCATTTCACTTGAATTCATTTTATTTGCTATTAAGTATTTTTTATTTCTGTTTTGTCTGATTTTATTTTTCTTGTTTTATTTAATTTTCTTTATATTATTTTTACTTTGTTTTTCTTATTTTATTTGATTTCTTTTCATTTTATTTCATTTTACTTTATTTAATTTTAATCAATTTTATATAGTTTATTTAATTATACTTTTCTTTATTTTTCTTTACTTTATTTATTTATTTTTTTTATTTATTTTTTTATTTTGCTTTTATTTTATTTTATTTTATTCCATTTCACTTGACTTAATTTTTTAAATTTTATTTATTTCCGTT